CCGACTGGGTGTAGAAAATATCAATATGGAAACAATAGTAACAATAATAGAAGAATATAAAAAGTATTAAGGAGGGACAAACCGGGGCCCCTCCCCGGGGCCGAAGAGAAAAAGTGATCCTGAGTGTTGGGTGTTCGTCTCTTCTTCTTTATTGAGGGTGGACGTGGGTATCCGGTCTTGTTTGCTGTAGGGGTTCTGTTCTTGTCAAGTAACTGACCGTTAGAGTTTGACCGAGGTGGCGGCCCAAAAGCAGATATTAAATCTGTGAGGGAGATGATCTGGCTGTTCATAAAAAAGAACAAGTCTAAGTGGGAACATAGAAGTCTAGGTACTTCGAAAAAAGCGCAAATTTAAGTATAGGCTTAGGAAATGCAAGGGTGTGGATATACCTTTTTTGATGATAAAGTTACCGAACACTTGTTTCCTTGTTAGTGCGTAGGCTGGTCATCTGGTTAAGAAGTAAGTGTTCTGTAGTGTCTATTTCCTCTTCACATTTGTTGCAGATGTTGGAGTCAGCATGACTCTATGGTACTGGTTGCTAAGCACCGTGCTGGCGTCCAGCAGAGAAAAGGTATGCCTGGAACCGCTTATTATATCAGCTAAGGAGGTTAAAAGCAGTCTAGAAACTTCGCAGTAACAGTAAATTAAAGTATCAATTTATCGATACGTAAATGCAAGGGTGTGGAATAAACTTCTATTTTAATAATGAAATTTTCGGACACGTTTTTCCTTAATAGTTTGAAGGCTTGGCATCGGGATAGGAAGTGTTCTGTAGAATATATTTCCTCTTCGCATTTGTTGCGGATGTTGGTAGGTTCATTACCTATCTTGTATTTTGAAGTATTTAGGATCTGCATTAGAGATTTTGCTGCCGACTAGACTGTCCCAACAGTTAAGAATAGAAGGAGCATAACTAAACCAGCCAGCCCGACCATAATTCAACTATTACGTGGAGCTGGTCAACCAGTGGCGTAACGAAGGGGGCCGCTGACCCCGCTGTGCCGGGGGGGGGGGGGGGGGGGTCGCCAAATTGTCGTTTGAATGTGGGACAATTTTGAAAAACTTAACTGAGGTACTAGCAAAACTGCGCGTTTTGCTCTAGAAACACACTTTTTTACTGCTCTAAAATCATCTAATTTGTTCAATTTTAGGGAGGGGCGCCAAAAAGGGAGGAGTGCCAACAGGCAACGTTACGCCACTGGTCAGCTCGCAGCAAAAATATATAAAGCTGTTGTGTAAGAGTTTTTCACTTATCGGCACAGCAAGGCTCTCCTACAAGGGATGGAAATCTACTGGATTCTACAGAGATATTGAATTGATTTAATGATAATTTGTTAAGAAATCAGGCAATTATATTCACCAGCAACATTCTATCGTTTCCCCTGTAAGCTGTATACTAAAACCATCACTCTGAATACCTAGTAGATTGAATGGTAAATATGAGCTCTACTGTATTAAAACACAAACGTGCAACATTGGAACGATTAGAAAAATACATTTCTGAGATCTACTTTACAGATGTCAATTTATTTGGAAGGTGAATGATAAAAAACACCTTTTAACATAGCTGAGTTTTCATTCGAATTTGTCATCTTGTAAGATGCAAAAATTGTTTAAAAATATGTTATTCTCAGACCATATAATTATCGACTATCATACTATGATAATTGTGAATCTATTGAATATTTCAGAGTGGATTCCAAAATCCCACATTGTAAGCTGTATCGTTCCCTAGCAAGAAAACAAACTTACCAGGCTTTTGAAAGTGTGAAAAATGGAGTATTCCAACTTATAACTGAAGGGGAAGAGTTTAAACCATTGTAAGTACGTATGATGATTGGAAAAATGTATCACATTTCTTGTGTCATAATTCTATTCTGTATACATTTTCATGATGGTTTTCTTTTGTTCAGTAAGCTCACAAGACAGCATTTTAAAATTAAGACAACATTTTATTTTAGATAGATAATCATCTGCGGGTTTATGGGTCGTTACCCTTCATTATGTAATATTAATCAATTGATTTTAGATGGTCTCAACACTGGGTAAAAGTGATCATTCCTGCCAATGTGTGTAACATGGAAAATGTCTACCTCCATTGGGACGTTAGTGGAGCTGAGTCACTTGTATGTGATAAAGATGGCAACCTAATTCAGGGAATGTCCCACAAAAGGAAAGAAATGAAAATAGTTGTCAAATCACATGATGAAGATGCTGTTTTCTTTATTCAAATCTCCTGTACAGGTGAGATATAATTTTATTTATATCACTGGTTCAAGGAATTTGTCAAATCGAAAAATATTCGTGTTCATTTTTTTCAAATGAAGGTTCATTTTTTTCAAATGAAGGTTCATTTTCACATTTATTTGATAGTTTGGATAGTCGGATCGAGCTACATTTTATTTAATTGTGTTTGGCAATTCGAATTACATTTGTCTTGAATAAATTAGAGTTGTAGCTTCTTAGATGACCGAGATATGAAGCATAACGAGTTTATTCATTACGTGTGATCAGGTGATTGGTTTACCTAATCACGTGATTAGGTGACCCCGTTAACCACCCGGCACCCCGTTAAACATATCACATATGGGAAGTGTTAAGGGTGCCCAATTAAGGTGTCGTGTCTCCCAGTCAATTTTGTTAACGATATACACAAAATGGATGATAACTTCGTCATTTCTAATCCGTTTTGCCTCATTTTTTCAGATCAGATGCAACATTTAATAATCTACCGTCTCTGGAAAAATTGGGCGTCCAGCATGTTCAGAGATAACAATATCTAAGGTGTTTAATATTGAATGGGTGTGGTCTAAAATATTCGAATTTTCAAATTTTGTCGACAGAATCCTCAAACAAGTAGATTAGATACGTAGTATACCATCTGCAAAGCAACAACTCTCAAATATAAAACACGGTGGAGGTATAAGACCCAACGTTTGAACACTGACTTTTGGCCCCCCCCCCCCCCGCCCCCCCTGTATATAATACATTTAAAGTAATCATTCTATCCCTTTAGGTCTATTTGGAGCTGGTCTCAACGGAATGATCAACGCTCCAGATCCTAATAAAACATACAACCTTACAAAGGCTCACATATTTGTACGAGATCAAGCAAAGTATGCAGTGTTCATGGATCTGTCTGTGTTGTATGATATTGCTAAAGAATCAGATGACAACACTTCATTATGCTATGATGCTTTATACACTGGCAATGAAATCATCAATGTCATAACGTTGAATGATCACTCACCCGAATCATACCAACAAGCTATACAAATTGGAAAGAAACTTCTTAATAGAGGAATAGTCAATGGTACAAGTAGTAGGGACACCATTCATGCCATTGGAAATTGTCATATTGACACTGCTTGGTTATGGCCCTACAGGGAGACGATAAGAAAAGTGGCCCGAAGTTGGTCTACAACAATATCTATGTTTGAAGCTGGAATGGAATTTAATTTTGCGGGATCACAGGTTGTTCAGTTCAGTTGGCTTAAGAAGTTCTACCCAAAGCTTTTTTCAGCTTTAAAGGCACAAGTTGTGAAAGGAAATTTTTCACCAGTTGGTGGTTCGTGGGTTGAAATGGACACAAATATACCAAACGCTGAATCTATGGTCAGACAGTTTCTCTATGGTCAAAAGTTTTATAGAGAAGAATTTGGCAACCATAGTGACATTCTTTGGTTGCCTGATACATTTGGGTACAGCGGACAACTTCCACAAATAATGCAGCTCTGTGATATAAAATACTTTTTGAGTCAAAAATTGAGCTGGAATTTAACTAACACTTTTCCTCACCACACTTTCATTTGGAAAGGGATTGATCAAAGCAAGGTCTTGGCGCATTTTCCTCCTGGAGACACATATGAATCAGATTTAAAGATCAAAGATGTACTCAAAACAGTTTCAAACAACAAAGATAAAGGCAGAACTCATGACCAGATGTTGCTGTTTGGTCACGGAGATGGAGGTGGTGGGCCTACTCCTGAAATGATTGATAGGCTTGAGAGAATCTCTTCAATAACTGGAATGCCTCAAATTGTTCGGTCAACTCCTCAAAAGTTCTTTACAGCAGTTGAGAAGTCCTCAAACATGCTGTGTGAATGGTGGGGAGAGTTGTATTTCGAACTGCACCGTGGAACCTACACTACACATGCTAAGTTGAAGGAATCAAATAGAGTAGCTGAATTTTGGATGACTGATATTGAGTTCTTATCTTCGTTGGATGTCAAAGGTTTGGTCTCTTGTTCAAAAATTGAAGAAATGTGGAAAACCGTCCTTTTCAACCAATTTCACGATATCTTGCCTGGCAGTGCAATTGAGCAAGTGTTCATCGATGCCATGGAGGACTACACAAATTTACTGATACTGTACAACGAAGAGTGGGAAACAATCAGAGATGTTGTCATGCCAGATTCCAAGAGTTTTGTTGTTAATCCCTACAACTGGGCCAGAAGACAAGTTCTCACAATTAACGAGGTCGAAGAAGCTTTAGTTGAAGTTCCTAGCACTTACATAGGCTCTGTATCCCTCGTTACACCAACAGACCAAGCTGGGGCATTTGTTCTGGAGGATGGAATTTGTCTGTGTAACAGTTTGATAAAAGTGGTATTTTCACTGGAAGGAGTACTAAAGTCTTTGGTACACAAACCAACACAGCGGGAGTGTTTGGAGGCCGGAGGTATGGGTAACCGATATGTGATATTTGATGACGTGCCTCTGTTCTGGGATGCTTGGGATGTTATGGAGTACCATGTTGAGACCAGACAGGAGTTTCATCCTACATCAATTCAGGTTTGCAGTTTTCATATAATTATGTTGAAAAAAAAATGTGTCATTTTGTCGTGTTTTGGTATTGATACCAAAACACGACAAAATGGCACATAGAATTCAGATTTCAAAACGCTTTTCGAGCTTATTAATCCATGGGATTATCATCAAAATGTTCATTTTTTAGATCAGTGAAAACGTTTAGGTTGTAATAATATGATCAAGATAGCTTCTTAATACTTACATTTCACGCATTCATACTGTTTCTAGGTGCCAATTTTAAGTGTAATACTTTACAGGTGGTAGAATCAGGTCCACTTCGAGCTAGTGTTAAGATAACAGTTCCCCTTGGTGCACACGGTGACTTGACCTTCATAGCAACTGTTCTTGCGGAGACACCATATCTCTCATTCAAGGCAGATGTAAGAAAATTTGCTAAATTTTTCCCCAAAGGG